GATGATAGTTGTTGGACAACTAGGTAACATGATGGTGACAGCAGTGGACGTGCTTGTCAAGTACTTCTCAATGTCTTTAGGCGCTTTTAATCCTACTTCTTGTAATTAGCAGGGGCACGTCAAATCTATGGACCTTAGTGTGGTTATTGTTCAAATTTGTTTTCTTAAAAAATGAAAAAAATGCTTCTGTATAATAAGAGAGTAAGTGTTTTAAGTATCTTGAGTATGACATTTTCTGGTGCACTGCAAAGGTTGACCCAGTGCGTGATGTTGCTGCTTGCGTGTTTCGCCGTACTCAGCAATGTTCCAGCTACGTGATGGCAATCTGTAACTAATACGGAATAAAATATAATCTGGACCAGACAATCCAGTGATCAACATCATGAGCATCCATCTACACAATTGGGGTATGATGACATGTCAACCAAGTCAGCGAGCCTGACCACCCGATCCTGTTAGTCGCCTCTTACGACAAGCAATGTTATGATCAATTCTAATCAGGATCTGGGTGGGGTGGGTATCATTGCATGATAGGTTATCATACTATTTTCCACAAGTTTGGATCTGGTGTCCCCCGCCGTGATATTGCTGGAATATTGCTAAAAGTGGCGTAAAACCAAACTCAGTCAGTCAGTCAGTCCACAAGTTTGCTTGATCCATACTGAAATAATTACAGGTGGCTGTTATCGTTAAGTTAGGTTGTGATTAGCTTAATAAGTGTTGAACTCATCTCCTTGCATTTAAAAACTGACATATACATTTGAATATGAAAATAGTTGTCATGACAGTTCTATCTGATGGACATAATAAGCTGTCACTCCAGACTGGAGATATTCTGCCTGTTCGTAATGCGACGTGTGACACAGTGAACCACACATAACATTCAATTTGGTTTACAGTTTTTCCTTTAAAAAAAGATAATCTAATTTATAATATAGTCTACAAAATGCCAAACAATTTGGTCAACAGTTATCAATACAATATTGGTCAACCAATTTGCCTACAAAATGATCTACAATATGGCTTAAAATATGGTGTATACAGGCTTTTACATAAACTGAAAACTCTGAGTCATGGTGACTTACATTGAATGTTTTTTGGGAGTCACTTTCTAAATTTGGGGTCATGAAATATTTTGTCACTAAAATAGTTCTGTTATTAATTCTAAATACCCGGCCCACATGGGTACAATGTGTGAAGCCCATTTCTGGTGTCCCCCTCCGTGATGTTGCTGGAATATTGCTAAAAGCGGCGTAAAACCAAACTCAGTCAGTCAGTCTAAATACCTGGTAAAACAAATATTGTGAAGGCATATTTTGTGATATTGTCATCTGTAGTAATCTGTTACAGTGTGTTGTTACTTATTCATATTAAGCAATCAGTTTGTTCTATACAAACTTGAATATAATGAAATGGTGAAATATTGTGTCAGCTATGATTTGCAAGAAAATACACAGGAATTATATGACACATGAAACCTTGTCTATAGTTTGGCAAAAAATTTGGTTTGCTGATTGGCCTGCATTTAACTCCAACAGCATAGTCTTCAACGTTGCTTTCAATATGGTCTTCAAATTAGGGCTCGTTTACTGAGTAGATGAGTAGATGGTTAAGTGTTATAAATTTCGAGCATACATGTATTAATGTCTGACAGTCTTTGGGAGATCTCCGATAGAAATGGTCTCGGCATGTGGCATGCAATTCCTCAATAGCACTTCCTCGATGTCTGATGTAAGGTGATTTGTAGCTATAGGATAACAGTTACGTATTAGGACAAGTAAGCTGATAGCAGCAGTAATACTACTTTCCACTAAACTGTCTGGTGTCACGGAGCGGTCACAACACTACTGGTGGATCGTCTTACTGCTTTGTACCAGGGCAGGCAATTCAATGTCAAGGCTTGGTGACAATCTTCTTGATCTGTGTAATTCCTCAGAATCTCTGTGACCACTCAAGTGGAGAATGTTTAGATAAGATGTAAATGAGATGATGAAAGAAAATTTCAGGTTAATAATTAGGGCTTGTGGGTACATTATTAGGCTGATTTGAGCAAACAGTGAAGCTATGAACCTTAATGATAAATTCATACACAACACCAGTCATTTATCTCGGATTTTAGTCAAAGTGCCTGTGGCAGGCAAATTGGGAAAACCTTTCTTTCGGTTGATAATAATTTGAAGAAAACATTTGTATCAAGGCTTGGCTACATGGATACTGCATTGGTTAAATATTAATTTTGATCATTATCTCAGAGATACTTCAATTTGGAGTCTTTTTCTGCCATCTGCTGTCCAGGTGTGTTCAGTTGTCATGGAAACATACGGAATCATCAGTTGAATGATTGAAGCATTTCGAAGTAACATGCATCAACTCTGTGAGAGTTTACATTGACGTAGACAGACAATTCTATGGAAAATTAACTATAACTGTGCATTTTTTAAGATTTGCAGGTATAAATGGGTATAAGCTTGGCAGATGTTTACCATTTGAAAAAACATTGCTAATATATGTTTTCAGTTACAAAATAAATTAGAGGCATCAAATGAGCAATAACACCCTTTAATCCCAAAACATATGTTTTGCTTGCCAAAACTTGAACTTGCCAAAGTGTCAACATCTTTTTCTCTCTCTTTCTTTTTCTTTCCTTTTCCTAGTTATCAGTGAATTACAAAGCACTGGTGTAAATTCCCATGTATATCCATGGATTACCTCATCTAATGCACAGGGGCTTGGGGTAGCCCAGTGGTTAAAGCATTTGCTTGTCATGCCGAAGACCTGGGTTCAATTCCCCACATAGGTACAATGTGTGATGCCCATTTCTGGTGTCCCTCACCGTGATATTGCTGGAATATTGTTAAACTGACATAAAACCCAACTCACTCACTCACTCATATAATGCACTGTAAGGTTTAATGTCCCAAAGGGGCGGTCGGGCAGCCTAATGGTTAAAGCGTTGGCTCGTCACGCCGAAGACCCGGGTTCGAATCCCCACATGGGCACAATGTGTGAAGCCCATTTCTGGTGTCCCCCGCCATGATGTTGCTGGAATATTGCGTAAAAACCAAACTCAGTCAGTAATGTCCCAAATTTAGTTAATAATTTGAATGTCATGTCGTAAGAGTGAGTGTTGTGTTCCTTAAGTAAATGCAGTCTGTGCTGCTTGGTAGATACATATATTGACTTTTACAAATCGTTCAGCAGCTTATACAAGATTTCAGTATATCTACTCAACAGCTTCGAACCCTTGATATTGATAAAGGCTGTTTTTGCTCCAGATGTTGAAAGCTGGCTAGGTATTGCACCCACTGGCTTTATGATATTGACAGATACACTCACAATAGCCATAGACCTGACAATAGGTGTTGTTACACTATGACCGGTATGTCAACTAGGGCTCAGTAAATACACTATGATTCGAATACAATTTGTTTCACAAATATATAGAAACGAATATGAATATATATTTATGAATACTTTCTTGTTAATTACTAGGAATTAAGATAACAAAGCTGTCATTGAATTGCTTAAGATCAAATGTGATTTTCTATAAAACAAAAAGCAATACATCGTGAAGAGTGCTGCTTGTAGCCTAACGACAGTGCCGTTAGGGCCGACCTCAAAATGAGATAAGGTACACTACTGTGTGGCTTGGATCTATTCCATTTTGCATATCTCCCTTTGATAAACAGCACACTGGTTCAAAGTAAAAACACAATCTTAAACATATTCATAAATATTCAGTTCCTGTGACACTGAATAATAAATTGCATTCATGATACGTTTTGATTCATGGAATACGCGAGTGAATAGTAACAGGTCTAATGTTTAGGTGTAGTAACTGTAAGTCTCGGGCAACAAGGAAGTGTTTCAGAACCCTGCTCTTGCTGGTTTCTTTGCTGCTGAATGGTCAAATTCATATTGTGACTTTGATCCAGACTTGATTGGAATATGCCACTGTTTGCCAGTGGGAATTGTTTTAAAGTTTATATTGCGAGTTGATATATTTCATATACCACATAAATCTGCAGCAGATGCCCTTCTTCAATATGAGTGAGTGAGTGAGTTTATTTTTATGCCGCTTTTAGCAAAATTCCAGCAATATCACGGCAGGGGACACCAGAAATGGTCTTCATACATCGTACCCATGTGGAGAATCGATTCCAGGCCTTTGGTGTGACCAAAAAACGCTTTAACCACTAATCTACCCCTTCCCCCCTGTTCAGTAAGAGAATATCCTTTACCCAATTGTGGCAAACTAGTCTCAACCTTAGCCTGAAATAGTACTTGAGAGTCTATTTTCTCAAGTTAAATCCTATTTAAAAAAAAAAGATAAAACCCCAACTTTACTTTTTATTAAGTGCTGTGCTCTTTAGCTCACCTGACTGAAAGTCAAACGAGCAGAGACAGAGACTGTGTTGAAATCTGTTGAAACATTTTTCATTAATATCTATACATTTATCAAATCATTATACTAAGTATGTTACATTTATACAATTTGATAAACATGACAAAGCTTTCATGTTTTTTATAATGTTACCAGTTTCATATTCTCTGTGGATATCCACACTGACTGCTGCATTTGTTGCCATGCTGTACTGTTGACTTCCAATTCTAGTGAGCTACAGTACCATGGCACTATATTTGATAAATATTTCTTGTATCTCGGTCCTCTAGGTCCATTGATCAATGGCATAGTCTCTTTTCATCAAATGTGACTTGTCCGTTATTGGGGTTGGGGATGGGAATGTTACCATGGTTACAGGGATGAGAGTTCCTATGAATATATAGGTAAAACATAACATTGTTCAGTACAATGAAGCAGCTCGCATTTCCTCCATTGCTATCAAGGAAATAATATGTCTTTGTTGGAATGGACATATGTGTGCGCGTGCGTGTGAGAGTGTGTGTGTGAGAGTGTGTGTGTGCGCATGTGCATGTGTGTAAATATGAATATACATTGTCTCAATTTAATTTAATGTATTCCTGCCTTTTGTTTTCAGATATAACAGAACTTGTAAAAGGAAAGTTTCCAGAAGAGATGACAAAATGGAAAAATGTGAGTACCTCTTGGTTTATGTAGAAATGTTGTAGTATAGATGCCATCTGAAGGGGATCTACAGTGTGTCCTGTACTGAGGAGATAAGGCCATAGGGATGTGTCATAATAATATTCTTCCCTCACAGGAATTCCTCAGGGAAGACTTACCCCTGATATTCTTTCCTCTCTGAGATTCCTCCTGGAGCGTTTGTCTTCTAGCTTTGTTCACACTTGGGAATTACCCAGGGAAGGTATATTAAAATGTGCAATTTGTGTAAAACATCCAGATTTGATCAGGGGCGGTGGGGGAGCCTAGTGGTTAAAGCGTTCGCTCGTCACGCCGAAGGCCTGGGTTCGATTCCCCACATGGGTACAACTTGTGAAGCCCATTTCTGGTGTCCCCACCGTGATATTGCTGGAATATTGCTAAAAACGGCGTAAAACCATACTCAGCCAGCCAGATTTGATCAGAACAGCGGCTGTAGCATGGTGACAAGTTTCAGTTCTCAAAAGAGGCCGTGGGGGTAGCCAAGTGATTAAAGCATTTGCTCGTTTTTTCCGAAGACCTGAGCATGATTCCTCACATGGTTAAATTGTGTGAAGCCCATTTCTGGTGTCCCCTGCCGTGATATTGCTGGAATATTGCTTAAAAAGTTGCTAAAAGCTGTGTAAAAACTTACTCAATGCTCAAATTAAATCATACCTATACAACTAGACAATTTGTGGTGATGTGCGGAAAGAGCTGTGTTTGACACAACTCGTTAACCTGAAGACATCTGGATCTGCCAGGAAAGAGGGACAGAAATGATAAAGAGAGCAAGACATGTCCCCAGTGAATCGCAGCATCCGAATCTGCCAGGAAAGAGGGACAGAAATGATAAAGACAGCAAGACATGTCCCCAATGAATCGCAGCATCCGAATCTGCCAGGAAAGAGGGACAGAAATGATAAAGACAGCAAGACATGTCCCCAATGAATCGCAGCATCTGAATCTTGTTCCCGTGGTTTTGAAAATTACCGGGCGGCTTATGCCGACGGGTCTGAAAAATTCTCGCTGAACTAGTTTTTATCCGAGAGACAAATTAATCAGTAATCGCAACGATATACTGTAACGTAAAATGTGTTGAAAAGTCTGCCGCATTTGAAGCTGCTTGTTTTTCGAGAATGCTCATTAGACCTGACAAAAGTATTCGCCATTTGGCATATATAGCCGTCGTCTCGTGATTTTGTCACAATCAGGAAATGAAAGCGTCCAACTAAATTCGATAAATGTGTTCAGAATGTCATTCGCCATCTAAATGACTGTGAAATGTGCAAATAATTAGTGTTTATATACCTGTGGTGAATTTCAACCTGCATTTCACGAAGTTGAAAACAACGATTCTCGACACATGCTTCGCAGCTGGTCCACAATAACATTGTCAAAGAGCAAAGTAACCATGTTTCGAGGAATTCATTAAATAAATTGAATAAACTAATGAATAAAATCAACAACATTCATAAAAGTTGTACATATAAAATTACTATTTTCCATGTTTTGTGCGATCATGTAATGTAAGTCAAGTCACTGACAACTGACATCTCGGCTCACGCCAATCTTCACGCCGACACGATGTTTAATGCTAAAATATATACATGAAGCATATTTGTCACAGGTCATAACCTAGCACGATACGTCCAAAAAGTTCCATAATTTACGTATAGGTAGAGATTTCTTCCTTAATATGTTCAGAATAGCATTATTTTACCCAAAACTTCTGTCTAAATCTAAAAGTTTTGGTTTACGAGGACGGAATCCATTGCCGTAATATGATTGGCTGCTTTAGGTCACGGTCAGATTTTGACCAATTACGACCCTTTATAGCAGACTGTGGCTTAAAAGCCATTAGAAACCAATCTTTATCCAATAAAATCGCTTCTACAACTGTGAAAAACTATATAGTCTATATTTAGATGTGGGATTGCCACCCTAGTTTTCAATATACGCTTGCATAATGATCTGAAGAGAACAAAGAATAAACAAAGATGTTATCTGCAAGTTTATTAAATCTGCCGATAAATGGCAACTTTAAGCAATACAAAATTTACCCGGCGGCAGCTACCGACGGCAGTTGAAAATACCGGATCTTCACAATTTTTATCGGTAAAAAAAAACCGTAATTACCGGAGAACGGAACACTGTGAACACCTCGCTACCTCCAGTAGAAAGGAAATCTTGTCAGGAGAAGAAAAGCATCGACTTAATGTCTGCCAAGGAGTTTTAAGTGTCAATAAACCCATTTTAGCATATTTCCATTAGTATGATAATGTGTCCAGTTTTGATACAACAGTTGCCTTTTTCATGAGAATATAGGTCTTTATAAGACCTCGTGAAATGCAGGTGTTGACCTTGGTCTCATGGCTTTGTAGTGTATTGAGAAGCAGCTTAGTGGTGAAGATGCTGTCTCCATCCTAGTTGGGATGTGGGTTGTGTTTTATTCGCTTTCACAGTTGTCAGTGGTCTTGTCAGCATTATTTCCTTTCTGATGGGTTTCACTCTTAATGACCAGGACATGGCTCTTTCCTCCATTTAAGAACAAACTGAAAAATGAAATGGTGTATAACTGTTTGAAACAGGTCATATAGAAAGAAGCCTCATGTTTAAAACCTTTGCTTGCTATGCCAGGTTACATTCACCACAGAATGTGAGCAGGTTGTGAAGCCAAATTCTGGTGTCCCCTCTGTGGTATTGCTTGAATATTGCTACAAGTGGTGTAAAATCGCATTCGCTCACTTTAACTCCTCCCCGAAGACCTGCTGGTTTGATTCCCCACATGGGTACACCATGTAAAGCCCATTCTGGTGTCCCCCATCGTGATATTGCTGGAATATTGGTAAAAGTGGCGTAAGAATAAACTCACTCACTCACTCACTTTAATTCCCTATACCAAGTCACTCACTCACTCATAGGTCTTCTCCAACTATGGAGATGGAAATTGGCATATTTGTATAACTCAGAACAAGTATAAATCAGAACCGTTCAGTATTTTTCAACAAAACTTGGTAGATATATCAAACAGATCCTAAAGTTGTGCCTTTTGCTATTTACAGATTTTTGACATTTTTATTTTTTCCGGTTTCCATGGAAACGTTTTGGACTTAGTCTTAAAGAAGGGTGGGCTTCGTTTCCGGAGCATAACTCAAGAACCGTTCAGTATTTTTTCAACAAAACTTGGTAGATATATCCAAAAAATCCTAAAGTTGTGCCTTTTGCTATTTACAGATTTTTGGCATTTTTATTTTTCCTGGTTTCCTTGGAAACGATTCGTTCTCAATGTCTTTCAGCAAAACTTGGCAGATATGTGAGGCAGATCCCAAAGTGGTGCCTTTTGCTATTTGCAGATATTTGTGATTTATAATTTTTTTGGTTTCCATGGAAATGAATCAGACTTAGTCTCAAAAGGAAGGGGTGGGTTTCGTTTCCGGAGCATAACTCAAGAACCGTTCAATATTTCAACAAAACTTGGTAGATATATGAAACAGAACCTTAAGTGGTGCCTTTTGCTATTTGCAGATTTTTGGCATTTTTATTTTTCCCGGTTTCCTTGGAAACGATTCGGACTTAGTTGCAAAAGTGAGGGGTGGGCTTCGTTTCCGGAGCACAACTCGAAAAACTTCTTAATATCTTTCAGCAAAACTTGGCAGATATGTGAGGCAGATCCCAAAGTGGTGCCTTTTGCTATTTGCAGATTTTTGTCATTTATTTTTTTCATGAATTCCATGGAAACGATTTGCACTTAGTCTAAAATCAAGCTGGACTTGAAGTAACTGTCAGATGCTTTGTTCTTTCAAAGATGTGGAGGCCGGGGGGATATGTCATCTTCTGATGACTCTTGTTATGATACCTATACCTATACCTGATACCTATGAAGATTGAAGGATACATGGATGTTTTAGCCAATCAGATGACAGCTTCCTAAATGATTCAGCTTCATTTGTCTGCTGCAATAAAAAAAACAAATTATGCAGGACACAAATATGCCTATGATAAACACCCTCTTGGGTGCAGAGTGAGTGAGTGGGTTTGGTTTTACATTCATTTTACCAATATTCTAGCAATATCATGGCATGATAAACACATTCTTGGGTGTAGATGCCATGGCAATCAGAAGAGAGCCATAACATGCCAGCAATCACATTGCCTTTATTGTTTGAATTTGGAACTGCCTGTTTTTTTCCATTTTCAAGATAAGGAAATGAGTTGTGCTGCTGACTTCTGTGTGCTCCTACTGAGACACTGAGTGGATGATGGTCAGGATTAATCCTGATCAGGGAGATACGATTTCATTGAGATATCATTAGAGTTTTCTTTCAGACTTGACATTTCATAGGCGATGAGTTGTTAAGGAGAGTATGTAGGTGTGATTGGTTGGAGACTTGTCGTTAACAGCTAGGTATACTTCTATACTTATACATGTGATGTTTCCTTTTATCAGTTTCATCTGTTTGAAACTTGACTTTCAGTCAGGTTTATGATGATTAGTACTAAAATTGGAAATAAAACCGAGTTAACGGGCAGCTGAAACAGAAATTAGAATCTTTATAATACAAGGTATAGTTGGCTGGACATGAATGGTGGGTTTTGTTATTCCAGTCTGTACTGTGGGTTGTATGTAGATAAAAAAATTGGACAGGAAAGGTTCCATCATATTGTCATCAGTTGGTCAGGCTATATGACTTGGAGGTCATGGTTAATTTTACCTGATAGCTGTCTGTCACCTTAACCTGATGACATGGAATGTCGTCATTGTATCAACCTTTGCAGGGTTTTATGTGACACGCAAATAGTGAATCTCACCCGAATGTGTTTTGATATCAAATTATTATATCATCATGGGTTGATAAAGTTACAAGTATCCAGGCTTGACGAGGATGTTTTTACTTTTATCGACAAGTGTTGATATGTTTGATATCAGAAGACATGAGGGTGAGATTCTATTTATCATCAAAAATCACTCTTCATTAGTTTTCAATGAAAACTGTACATCTCTGAAGATGACTTGCAGTGCAACATTGTCATAGCATTGTGACATGATGGCATCCAGTTCATGACGTCATAACATTGTCTGGGCATTGTACAAAATCTACTGTCAAAATGATATCTCCTAGGATATCTCACACAAGCAATATCTCCTGTGGAACACAGTTTTGGATGGTTTTACGCCACTTTTAGCAATATTCCAGCAACATCACGGTGGGGGACACCAGAAATGGACTTCACACATTGTACCCATGTGGGGATTCGAACCCGGGTCTTTGGCATGACAAGCCAATGCTTTAACCACTAGGCTACCCCACCGCCCCGAGAGATTATAGATATGGTACCTCTTGTTACCTTTCCCTGGGTTCAGTTAGCACAATAAAACTGGCATTACCCCTCCCAGTACAAGCAGCCACATACACATATGTACATGTCACTGTATAGATGCATTAAGCTTGATAATGTTCACACTGTCGACCACTGGTTTTCTGTGGGTTTTCTGGGTCGGTTGGGTAGCCTAGTGGTTAAAGCGTTCGTTCGTCATGCCGAAAACCCGAGTTGTATTCCCCACATGGGTACAATGTGTGAAACCCGTTTCTGGTGTCCCCTGCTGGAATATTGCTAAAAGCGGCGTAAAACCATACTCACATTTGTAACTACTGCGCCTCTTTCCGTGACCTACAAGAAGACTCGTACCTTAATAGTACGCCATTATTGCCAAGAATCGTGGCAAACCAATCAAAACATGGGTAGTAAAATGTATTTCGATGCATCAAAATGGCTGCACCGTTGAACTTTGAAACTCCACTAAATTATGCAAAGCACAATTTAAACATAAACTTTGAGCTAGAGGTTCAGCAACTTTCAACGCTGAAACATCTTTACGAAGGGAATGACTGTATAGCTGTTTTGCCGTCAGGATGTGGGATATTCTTGGAGTAGCCATGTTTGGAAATTCAGAGTTATCTTTCCTTTGAAATAGTACTAGACTATTTTCATCTCCCTGCCCGTTTGCACTTAGACAAGGCCCAGTCGTGAACATGGCCATCTGGCTTGCCGGAATGACACGAGTAGTTCTGAATAACTAACTCACTCACTCACTCACTCACTCACTGTAGGTTTTCTTGGTAAGAATAGGTCTGCAGTTCCTTATGCTTATTGTAAGTACAAGCTCAAAGGGGTACAAGCAGCCTGGGGTGTTGTTCATACTGTTAACCACTGGTTTTCTGTGGGTTTTCCTGGTCCGAATAGGTCTGCAGTGCATTATACATGTGATAAGTGCCATTACAATGCAGTGAGTGAGTATGGTTTTACGCCACTTTTACAATATTCCAGCAATGTCACGGTGGGGGACACCAGAAATGGGCTTCACACACTGCACCAAAGTGGGGAATCAAACCTGTGTCTTCAGTGTGACGAGTGGAGGCTTTAACCATTAGGCTACCCCACCACCCCCATTACAATGCAGTTCAGGCTCATTGACAAAGACATTGTGGAACTTTGTCTTTGGCAGCAGGGGATGCTATTCATATCGTCAACCACTGGTTTGCCCTGTCATAATTTTGTAACAGCTACAATTGGGTTGGAGTACTTTTAAACAGTATACTTTTTCTATAACTGATTAAACATTTTGAACAATGTTACTGGTCTGTGTTTCAGTACACGGACTACTTGATTGGCTTTGCTGTGTGTGTGGCTGTGGGCATCCTGTTCTGCATCATCATGCCAATATTTGGCTGTTGTTTCTGCTGTTGTCGCTGTTGTGGCAAGTGCGGTGGGAAGAAGAAGGAGAAGGATCCAAAACGAGCCAAGTGCAAGCGTGTCTCCTACTGCACGGTCTTGCTTATAATCAACACCATCATGCTGTATGTACCATCGTGGATGCTTATACTCAACACTGACATGCTTATACTCAACACTGACATGCCTATACTCAACATTGACATGCCTTATACTCAACACTGACATGCTTATACTCAACACTGACATGCTTATACACAACACTGACATGCTTATACAACACTGAACATGCTGACATGCATGCTTATACACAACACTGACATGCTTATACTCAACACTGACATGCCTTATACTCAACACTGACATGCTTATACACAACACTGACATGCTTATACTCAACACTGACATGCTTATACTCAACCCTGACATGCTTATACTCAACATTGACATGCTTATACTCAACACTGACATGCTTATACTCAACATTGACATGCTTATACTCAACACAGACATGCTTATACTCAACCCTGACATTCTTATACTCAACCCTGACATCTTATACTCAACACAGACATGCTAATATACTCAACACTGACATGCTTATACTCAACACAGACGTACAACCCTGACATGCTTATACTCAACACAGACATGCTTATACTCAACCCTGACATGCTTATACTCAACCCTGACATGCTTATACTCAACACTGACATGCTTATACTCAACACTGACATGCTTATACTCAACCCTGACATGCTTATACTCAACCCTGACATGCTTATACTCAACCCTGACATCTTATACTTATACTCAATACTCAACACAGACATATCTGCTAATATACTCAACACTGACATGCTTATACTCAACCCTGACATTCTTATACTCAACCCTGACATCTTATACTCAACACAGACATGCTAATATACTCAACCCTGACATGCTTATACTCAACACAGACATGCTTAAACTCAACACAGACATGCTTATACTCAACCCTGACATGCTTATACTCAACCCTGACATCTTATACTCAACACTGACATGCTTATACTCAACACAGACATGCTTATACTCAACCCTGACATGCTTATACTCAACCCTGACATGCTTATACTCAACCCTGACATCTTATACTCAACACAGACATGCTAATACTCAACACAGATATGCTTATACTCAACCCTGACATGCTTATACTCAACACAGACATGCTTATACTCAACCCTGACATGCTTATACTCAACATTGACACACTTTACAAAGCCCATGTTCAATAATCGTATGCACTGTTCAGTACTTCTTGAACATTTTTCATTCATCTGAAGGTGATAATGAAATATTCTTAGGGTCTTTTTAAATATTATGATAAATATAAATATATAATAATATTATAAATATATGAAAGGCATGTATTACTATGAATATTATTTGGTACAGAGCTGGAGTTGTGTGTGCCTTTGTCACTAACGATCTCATTCATCGATATCTACGAAACGAAGACAACCGTGGGCTTGCAGGAAGACTTGGCCAGGCTTTAACTGGATTTGACAACTATGTTACAGATACAATGGATGTGAGTTTTGTTTACGAGGAAATCGCAATGTAATGAACCGAAGATATATATTTAATCAGGAATTGGGATAGAGAACTATGACAATGGGCCATTTTCAGGATCATTAGCCAATTTCTGAATTTAGAATGGGCCACTGCCCTTGTATCATTAGTAAACTTCAACATTTTAATGGGCAATTTTTTATTCTAATGTGCAAAATGGCCCATGGCCCCCACCTTTCCCAATCCCTGTTTAATGTTATACACATTAAAGAGTTTACATGCGTGATCTTCAAACAGGAAGTTATTTGTTGTTTATGTTATCCATCAACTCTTATTTGTTTGTATGATGTTTTGGAGGGGCTATCTTTGATATTTTACATTTTGAATATTTAGCTAAAGTGATCAGTTTTAACTTTTAATGTTCTTTTATCCACAGGATGTTCAAGCTAGAGCCCTAGGAACCTTTGATTCAACAAGAGCAACTCTGGTTAGAGACATCAACAGTAAGATATTTTCCAAATAAATCTCACACAACACATATATAGACTGTGGTGATAGACCCTTCGGTGACCCTGGAGTAGAGCTGGTCCCTTGCATCTCCTCCTGTAACTCCCTATACACTTGTACCATGACAACTGATTAAGGGGCAAGAGGGGTCCAGTTATCATAGGCACTCCAGTTGGCTTTCTAGAGTTATGTCCCTTGGTAACATCAGGAGCCTGTGAATGTGGGTCCAAATCCCAGGTCACCCAGATTATGTTTCTAGGCTTGACAGCACCCTACCTGTGCTTGTGACGTCACCAAAGTAGTAAATTAGTACAGTAAAGTAGTAGTAAGGTCAGAGGCCTGGTTGGTTTGGGATTTCCTAACGTGTGAGTCATATATATGATATAACTGAAATACTGTTCACAGCTGCATTTAAGTCTAGCTGCTATTGGGATGGTGGGGTAGCCGAGTGGTCACGCCGAAAACCCGGGTTCGAATCCCCACATGGGCACAATGTGTGAAGCCCATTTCTGGTGTCCCCTGCCGTGATGTTGGTGGAATATTGCTAAAAGCGGCGTAAAACCAAACTCAGTCAGTCAGTCTGGAGTCCCCTGCCTTGATATTGCTGGAACGGTGTAAAACTAAACTCACTCACTCTAACTACTATTGCAGCTGTCTTGTAAAGATGATGTCATTGTTCATATTTGCAAAATGTCCCACTCTTTGTGTTTTTGCAAATATTGACATTTAATAGTAATGGGTGATGTCATTTATGAAACTTTTGAGGTTCTTGAAAGGCATTTAGAAACTTGTCAGGGACTTCAAGGATTGTTATGAGCTAGTTATCAAAGGTATGATGGAAATTCAACTTTGTCTAAGTTGAAAATATTATGTTGTCTGGAATTTGTTTAGGTTTATGTTACAACACTTTTCAGCCACAGCAAGCAGTGCAGTTGATAGAGTGGCTGATCTGGTCAACGCCTCATCGCTGATTCAACAGGCAACGGATCTCAGTAAAAGTGAGTAAGAGTTAAAATTTGAATTTCACAATTTATGTCCCCTTGGTGCATTTTCTGTAGATAGTTATGCATCATTTAATTTAAAGGCTGTAGCACTATATGTACTGTGAGTGTGAAGAACAAACAAATAAACATCTATGTTTATACATAAGCCATGCATGGAAAGATCATGCTAACCTTGAAACTCAGTGAGATCAACACTGTATTTCCTGGTTAGCCTTGTGGTTGAAGCAGCTGCTCTTCCTACCAACGTCATGGGTTTGAATATGAGTTCAATATGTGAAAACAATTTTATGGTGTCCTTCCTAAAAGTATCTTTGGCATTAAGTTAATCAGTAATTCACTTTAATAAAATAACACAAGATCTCACTCAGGTGAGACATTTATCTTCTTGTGTCGTTGCTGAGGCAGACTTATACTTAACTTCAGTGTAATAAATTGCTATTTTTCTTAAGTGAAGCGTTGATCTTGTTAGTCCCCCCTCTTGAAACAAGCATTATTACCTCTGCAACAAACAAGTTTTGATAGATACCCAAATCTTGATGGGTCAGCAAGTACAACACAATGGTTATTTGTTTGCTGATGTTTACTGCTGCTCTCAACATGATTCCAGCTGTTTGATGGACACCTTTATGTTATGTCACAGGCCTGCTGTTTCCCTCATTGAAACATATCAAGTTCTTACCAATAAGTTCCTTTAACACTTGATCGCCTAATGTCCTGAAACTTCAAATTGCTAGACATCCATGTTATTGTCTTACTTCTTAGTGGTCTTCCCAAGCGCTATCTGTTGCAGTTATCTCCCCTGACATGTGCATGTGAACATCATATTTTGTCCTGTGGCACACATGATCACATGTGTTTACTTGTTCTCTGTACAAAGATTATAAATTTCCCATGTTTATAAATTCAGATTCTATTTTGTATTAGTAAATCTATGTCATATCTAATTGAAGAATATATTTATGTTTTACCATTTTCAATTGATTACATCATAAGTATGAATGACATATGAAATGCAATGAACTTTCTGTCTGAATGTGTGAAGACTAATGTACTTATTGTTGCAGATGTTAATGCCACCCAGAAAGATTTAACAGATGTTGCAAGTTATTTGGTCAGTCTGCAGAATGATGGGACACATCTTACCAATCAACTGAAAATCATAAAGGACAATCTGACTGCAGCCTGCCCTCCACTACTTGTGGTGGCGCACTGAATGTTTCACAGTATAAGACTGATGCTAACTTCACTGGTGTAAGTTGATGTAGAAAAGGATAAAGGAAGGGTTAACCTGCCTTACATTTTGACTTAAAGTGTAATGTTTTATCAAACTGTTGGTGTGCTGCAATTGTTTGCCCTACAAATGTGCTATGTGCTTGAACATCTTCCAAGAATTATGGGGCGGTGGGGTAGCCTAGTGGTTAAAGCGTTGGCTCGTCATGCCGAAGACCCGGGTTCAAATCCCCACATGGGTACAATGTGTGAAGCCCATTTCTGGTGTCCCCCGCTATGATGTTGCTGGAATATTGCTAAAAGCGGCGTAAAACCAAACTCAGTTAGTTAGTTAGCCCAAGAATTATGACTTTAGATTGGAGTTACTTCCCTTTGGTTTGAGTGGTGACAGGGAGGATTATGGCTTTCTTTCAAGGTGCAATAATCTTGAAAGAAATGTTAAAAACCCTTTTCATCTCACCTCACCTCAGGGGTGGTGGGGTAGTCTAGTGGTTAAAGTGTTGGCTCATCACGCTGAAGACCCCGGTTTGATTCCCCACATGGGCACAATGTGTGAACCCCATTTCTGGTGTCTCCTGTCGTGATGTTTCTGGAATATTGTTGAAAGTGACATAAAACTAAACTCTCTTTGGAGAATCAAGAATAATTCACCATTGCCACGAGATTGCTATAATTTCTGAATCAAACAAGGTAGTAGTGTGTAAACTGACAGAAATATGTCAGAAGCTGTCATTCCGGGTTGACACTCATTTTGTCAACAAGTAGTGTGTCTAACTCAGATTTGAGTGTTTAAATAGCCATGATTTATTACAAAATGTGGTTTTATGTTGTAACTCATGATCAGTCCAGTTCATGATGTTCTATGTTTCATATAATTCTGATGGAGTTTGATTTTATTTCAGCTGAATGATCTTTCAGCACAAGCTGGCAATGTATCACAGAGTCTTGACATGCAGAAATTCATTGACCAGGTAATCATTGATTTTTTATATACAAAGACTGTAGCAAGGGGTAGTGACTGGCACAGCTGTCAAATGTAACTTACCTTCGCTTTGCAGATTTGCATCCAGTACTCATGCTAGAATTCGCTGACTTAGGTTAGAATTTGGGATTTGTACTGATTATGTTTCAGCATTTTGACACTCTAAAAATCTTGGTTGTAAAAGTCCTGGGCCCCTATTCTCGAAAGGATCCTAGCCCTAGGATATCCTAACTTTGATCCTAGGGTCTAGGATAGGTGTCCTACCTTATTCTCGAAAAGTATCCTAGCGCTAGGATATCCTAACTTAGGACAAATACTAGGATTGGTTCTGACTTGTCCTAAGTCTATCTTAGTGGAAGTCAACATGGAGTGGTTCTTGTTTGTTCACCAATTTTTATGTTGTCAAGTAAAATAACTCGCCTAAATTACATTTGAATTTACAACACCACACAGTTTTGATGTGTTATGAAGAGTTATCAAGTTATCGGTAATGAATAGACACACTTGTTGCAATGCACATATTCTTTAGATCTACAAGAGAGATTTGTTCAATTCTTACCTATTCTTGGTCTTTTTAATCACAACATTGCTCTTTTGAGTCACATTGCCGTGAAATATCAACGTCAAGGCCAACTTAATAGGGGAAGTAACTCCTGTATATTTCCTAGGTGAATTTTTCAGTTTGTGAGGTGACGCATAATGAGACTTCAAGTCATGATTTTCATAAAAAAATCAAATACAATGAAAATATTTTTTGCACATATCTTTCATATCCTTATTGTTTTTTTGCAGACTTTTCAAATTATCGCCTTGTCAAAAATGAATTTTCAAAAACTTAAAAACTCCTATAATGTGATGAAAATATCGAATAATTTCTTCTAGATCTACAAAGTCCATCAAAAGCTGAATTTCCTTATTATGTGTTTTTTTGTGGAATGAATCATTGATAATATTTAGGGGAATCCCCAACTTAATGAATGTTTTTATGTCTCACCTACTGAAGAGCTCGCTATCCTAGCTAGGATCGGTAGCTCAAGTTAGGACAAGGATAGGATCATTTCGAGAATGGGTTTTATCCTAACGGTAGGATGTCATAACTTCTGTCTTAACTACTTTGGATCTGTCTTAGCTGGGACACTTTCGAGAATAGGGGCCCTGCATCAAATTGATAAGCTCTAAATCTTGAAATTAATATTTAAAGGTCACATGCAACCAAAAAATCAAACATAATTAAAACACAATTATCACTTATTCATGACATATATTATACATTGCTGGTTATGAAAAAACATATAAACAAAATTATAAGCGTACAATCGCAAATCAAAAGTGCAATATTGTGTACTTCGGTTTACTTCCAATGAAATGAAGCAGCCGGGATACCGAACCCAGTCAGAGCGGGTGGGTGTGCACTCAAGTGTAACGGCTTGTTCATTTGCAGATCTCTCACGGCTTATCGTGTGTGTATATGTAGAGATGTTGGGTTTTGTAAATACATGCTCATTTTTTGTGTATAACATTTTGCAATCAACAGACATCATAACATGTCATGTGTTCAACTATCACACCTGCCTGTCTGTGTAATTACATAATGTGACAAAGACCGAACTCGGGCCATAAATCAATGCATTTTGTTTATGGTGTATAGCCTGATTGGTGTTAAGTTCAAATTGCATGTGGTCAGTGATAGCAGATGTGTATTGAATATTGTCATTAGCAGACAGGCAGGCAGACACACAGATGTCAATAAAACAAGACATTGAGTTTTGTCTGTGACAACGACATATCTATATCACAGTTAGAAATTCTGTCAACGCTAAATAATGACGTTGCTTTTAAGTATCGAACTGAGAAAGTGACTCGGTAAGAAGAACGTGTGGTGAAATTATATAAACAGTTAATTTACTGTCATAACGTATAAAAGCTCGCGCTGTGAGATATCAACAAAACATTAGAAAAATAGCTCACACCAAAGCCTTCACCGAGTATTCACCGGACAACCCGCTTCCAAGTTGCGCGAACCTATTTCACTGCGCACGTGCTATGAGCGCAGCCCAGCTGTTGAAACCCGTTTTCCCCAGAAAAGTCTGGGGAAAATTAGTGAAACGTTTGAACTCCGATTTCGCGCGGTTTTTTTCATCGCGTTATTTTTCAACTTTATAAGTTGAATTTGCATTTTTGACGATTTGTTTCGGTAAGTCCATACCAAAAGGTATCAGAATCTGCAAAGTTGTGTTTTACGTTGCATGTGACCTTTAAGTAAAAGGATTTAATATACCACTGAGGCTAGAGTGTAGTAGCATTGATACTGAGCCACATTAATTTCCAGATTTGCAGTCACTGAAATTCTTTTCCAAGCAAGTTGACACAACTCATTCACTCACTCCATTTTTGCCAGAATAAGATAATCAGGATAATTATATTCCTTTAGGGGCGGTGGTATAGCCCAGTGGTTAAAGTGTTCACTTGTCACACCGAAGGTCTGGGTTCGATTTCCTGCATGGGTACAATGTGTGAAGCCCATTTCTGGACTCCCCTGCTGTGATGTTGCTGGAATAGTGCTAAAAGCGACATAAAACCATACTCACTCACTCATTTCTTTGACAAGAATTGACCACTCATGCTTGTTTATCTGCATCAGGCGAAGGGCACTTTGGATCAGGCCAAGCAGAATGCTACTGGGGAAATCCAGGAACAGATCAACTGTAAGTAACAAAACCAGGTGTCTCATGGGAATTCTAGTTTAGAACGGGTGTCAGCGACCTTCAATGGTCGTAAGTGATGACCAAATGGGCCTGGTGATCAGATTGGTTAGAAGATCTGGGTTAGAATTGATCTTCAGTAACCCATGCTTGTCATAAGAGGCGACTAACGAGATCGGATGGTCAAGCTTGCTGACTTGGTTAACACATGGCATTGTATCCCATTTGCGTAGATCGATGGTCATGTTGTTAATCTTGTCCAGACTCGATTATTTACAGACAGCTGTCATATAGCTGGAATATTGCTGAGTGCAGCATAAAACTAAACTCACTCAACCACTCAACCAGATTGGTTGCCTATCCAAAATACCAGTGTTCTGACAGCATGGAGTGTTGCTGGAGATATTGTGCAGGGGATTGTCTGGCCAAGACCTGGCCATTTATAGCTGCTGCCTTACAGCTGAAATTTTTCTGAGTTTGGGGTTCTGTCTTGGTGAGGATAATAAATGTTTCATGTACACATTTTGATATTTTGATGAGATAGATATGTTATCTTGACAATATGTTTGACTGTTTTCAGCTTCCGTAAACAAGCTGGACAGTATTCGCAGTGACATCAAGAAGAAGATCGGAGATTTCAGGACACAGTTCAATCAGACTGTAAGTATTTCGAAATTGTCAAAAGCAAAACTATGAGCTGGGATTTAAGGTCCAGCTATTCTGAATTATGTATTGTATCAGATTTCAAAAAGCGTTTCTGAAAAAAACATCAGATGAATTCCCCATAGGGCAAGCAAAAATGTGTAAGACAGTACTGCTTCTCAATCTTGTAATGATATGAAAGAGAAGGAAGATTTCAAATAAAGAGGTATTTCTTGCCTCAGGCAGGGGAGGGGGTATAGGGCACCCATTTGTCTTCGGTGCCAGAATTTGTGTGCGGAGTTATGCCCCTTAGCCAGACACCTAAAACCTTGAGCGTGCGTGCGTGCATGCGTGCATGAGTGTGTGATGATGATTTTTATGGAGAAGCATGTACAATGCGAATGACCCCTAAAACTTACGTACAAAGTTAGTGCCCCCCCTGCATGTAATGTACAAAATCAATTACCCTCCCCATAGTACATGTACATGTGTACAAAATTTATTACCCCCTACCTCCCCAGAACATTAAAATCATCACCATCACCCATAAATTATGAATGGTCCCTAACAACTTCCTTTTTGTTGCATAGAGCAACATTTCACTGTAGATTCTTACACCATTTTTAAAATTACCAGTATTATTATTAATATTATTCGATATTTATTGCGGCTTCCCATCCATATGATTTACCCATTCACAGCTGGGTGGACTGGGACACAGTACTTTGTCCAAGTTTACTGCACGTTGCTGTACCCGCAACTAGGTGTTTGCATGTATTCATGTCGCCACCATCTGGTCACCTACGAATGGATTCGTGGGTTCTTTTAAGTACACAGGGTTGTGTGCTGTACACTAGGGGTTGTGACAACACTGAAAGAGTCTGCACACGAAGTTGACTCCAAGGTTTTTACACCCGGTCACAGATGGGCTTGATCCCGTCACCTCAAGCTCGCTGGATCACTATAAACAAGAAGTTGTTATTCATGTACTTGTATGCTTCATTATTGACTAACTTCTGGAATGTGATCAAACAATCAGAGTTATGTCCCTTACTGATACCTCAGTTTTCAGATTCGACTTACTTGTGATCCAAGATCTGTCCACAACCTACAAAGACTTTCGCGTTAAACCAAACAATTAAATTTTAATGACCTGTTTCACTTGGTTTTTCTCTTCAGCCGACCAAATGGGATGTAATTAGAAAAGTGTGTGACAAAAATAAATAGCGTTAAATCAATACCCTCATCACTTATATTTATATTTTGCTGTTTCAGACAAAGTTTGCATCTGAAGCAATGAAGACTGTGAATGAGACAACAACCCCGTCCATGTTGAAGTATTATGACTACGTGTAAGTTCTACTGGTAGACCACTGTTTTCATATTCTAGTCGTTCTATGTGAGGGGCGGTGGGGTAGCCTAGTGGTTAAAGCGTTGGCTCGTCACGCCGAAGACCTGGGTTCGAATCCCCATATGGGTACAATGTGTGAAGCCCTTTTCTGGTGTTCCCCGCCGTGATGTTGCTGGAATATTGCTAAAAGCGGCATAAAACCAAACTCAGTCAGTCAGTGTTCTATGTGAAAAGGTATGTTCCTTTTGAGGAAACAAATGGAATTTGATCCTATATTTTAAGCTTTTACCTAGAATCAAGTATTCTTTCCTACATGTAATACTGATAGTCCACATGTATTGTGCAAAATTCCATACTTTTATTATACAATTGAAGAGCAGGATTTCCTGTTACATTCTCAGCTCCTTGGGGAACATACGACTCAAGCTGCCCATAATCCACTTGAAGGTTTTGAATTCTCATTACTATCTCTGCTACTAGTTACCAATTGTTATCCCCCGCAACGCGTTTTGCGGGGGGTATTAAAATGGACTCCGTCCGTCCGTCCGCAGGCATCAGAGTGAGCAGTGTCTACCTGCTGGTTGTGTCATTGCCTGCCTCCCGATTGTGTTGTGTTACAGGTGGTACTCAGGTATCGGTGTGAGCAGTGTCTACCTGCTGGTTGTGTCATTGCCTGCCTCCTGATTGTGTTGTGTTACAGGTGGTACGCAGGTATCGGTGTGAGCAGTGTCTACCTGCTAATTGTGTTGTGTCATTGTGTACCTATGTTGTGTTACAGGTGGTAAGCAGGCATCGGAGTGAGCAGTGTCTATCGCTGGTTGTGTTGTGTCATTGTCTACCTGCTGATTGTGTTGTGTTACAGGTGGTACGCAGGCATCAGTGTGAGCAGTGTCTACCTGCTAATTGTGTTGTGTCATTGTCTACCTATGTTGTGTTACAGGTGGTACGCAGGCATCAGTGTGAGCAGTGTCTACCTGCTAATTGTGTTGTGTCATTGTCTACCTATGTTGTGTTACAATTGGTAAGCAGGCATCGGAGTGAGCAGTGTCTATCGCTGGTTGTGTTGTGACATTGTCTACCTGCTGATTGTGTTGTGTCATGTTGTGTTACAGGTGGTACGCGGGTATCGGTGTGAGCAGTGTCTACCTACTGATTGTGTTGTGCTACTACTTGGGGTGCTGTTCGGAATATGTGGGGAGCGACCAGGCTACGACGCCCCCTGTTGCAACAAGGGCATTGGAGCCAACTTCCTCATGGCGTAAGTTTGGAAAAGCTGGATATATAACTCATAATATTTTTAGAGCCTTGGGCCACACAGCTATTGTACCATCAGCTCATCATCCAGTTTGAAGGCTGGTAGGGAAGCCTAACGGTTGAAGTGTTTGATCATCACACTGAAAGTCTGGGTTCAATTCCCCACATGGATACAATGTGTGAAGCCCATATCTGGCGCCCCCAGCCATGATATTCTTGGAATATTGCTAAAAGCAGTGTAAAACCAAACTCACTCACGCACTCTAGTTTGAAATAAATATAATGATAATGATTTGCTGGTTTTGGACTAGCTAACCATGCACATTATTTTGCATTTATGTTTCCATCAACTGAAGAAAATGAGTTTACGCCTACTTACTAACTATATTTTCATGATTGTCTGATGATGATAGAATACGCTTTCCATGTGTTGCATAACTGTCCATGATATTTCTGGAATGTTCCTAAAAGTGGTGTAAAACTAAACCCATCCACGCTTATATTATTCCTTAGGTGGAATAATCTGTTTTGAAATATGCCATCGAGAAGTTCAAATCCTTGTCACCTCTCTCCATTAAAATCAGTGCAAGCTCTCTGTAGGTATTTATCGTTGATGTTTTGTTGCTGCAGCGGCGTTGGCTTCAGCTTCATCTTCTCCTGGCTGCTGATGCTGCTGGTCGTAATATTCTTCATTGTGGGTGGCCCAGCCTTCACGGAGCTCTGCCGCTACTTTGATGGCCATGACCCCAGTGAACTCAAGGTCAGTAGCCTTCACAGGACAAATAGTTGTCAAACGTTTGTGCTTTAGTTTGTGTCACAGGATTGCTTGTCAGGGGATTCACTGTTGTGTCCATTAACCGAAAACAAGCTACAATGGGCTTCTGTCTCCTGACTGGCTGATAGTAGAAGGCATGGGGCTTGTGTTGCATTATGATGCTGAATGATGTTACTGATATTTGAAACCTGTGAAAATCGGCTCACTGACTTGGTTGACACATTGTTTCCCAATTGCTCAGATCGATGTTCATGTTGATGATAACTGGATTGTCTGATCCAGACTTGATTACTTACAGACCACCGCCATATAGCTGGAATATTGCTGAGTGCAGGAACCAACCAACCAACCAACTGATATTTGTATTGTTTTTGTGTTAATGAATAAATAAGCTGCCAGTGAAAATACAGCTGTGGAAATATTAATGTATATGAAATAATTGTTTTTGTTTGTTGATATATTGACATAGAAATACTGGTTGACACCCTATGTGTAAATCTGTTATACAATGAGAATTTAAACGGTAACCTGTGCATCTGTTATGTTTATGCCACTATTAATGTAACAAAGTGAATCATTACATATTTGACAGTTTATCACGGAGCCGCTGAGCCAAGGGTTCAACTTGTCTGAAACCCTGTACAGAAATCCATCTGTTAAATTTGATCTTGTGCAGGTGCTGGAGTAAGTATTTTCCTATCAGTTATTGTCTCGTACATTTGTCACTGGTTAAAACTACAAAGACTTTCATTCTTTTATAGCACCGCTATCTAATCTCATCTTGGAGTAGGGACGGTGGGGTAGCCTAGTGATTAAACCGTTCGCTTGTCATACTGAAGACCCAGGTTCGATTCCCCACATGGGTACAATGTGTGAAGCCCATTTCTGGTGTCCCCATGGTTTTATTGGAATATTGCTAAAAGCGACGTTTAACCAAATTCACTCTCTCACTCACCTTTGGGTAAAGTTTAGCCCCCAAACCCCATCCCTAATTTGCTGAAACCATCAGCATGAGCAGCCAAGCCAGCTTGCAACACTTGGCGTTATCAAAACAGCATCTCATTTGTGTGTTGTTCTTCATCGTTTGTCAGATATATCAAAAGAACTTTAGAAGTAATTTGGTTTAGTGACCATATACAATTTAGATTCGTCCGCACGGTGGATATTTATGTATTTCTTGAAGGTATATATTTGGAGGTCCCCTGTGATCCCTGCCTGTCTCTCTGTAGGGATTCCAGGACAGAAGACCTGTGAAGATCCGGGGTAGAATAGGTCTTCAGTAACCCAAGCTTGCCACAAAAGGCGACTATGCGTGGCGACTAACGGGATCGGGTGGTCAGGCTCGCTAACTTGGTTGACACATGTCATCGGTCCCAATTGCGCAGATCGATGCTCATGTTGTTGATCACTGGATTGTCTGGTCCAGATTCGATTATTACAGACCGCTGCCATATAGCTGGAATATTGCTGAGTGCGGTGTAAAACTAAACTCACTCACTCCAGGACAGAATAGTTTCCAAGAACCAAAAACATGTCTCACTCTCCAAAGTCACCTATCGTACAGTTTGCATCCTTAGGACATAATATTTACAATGGCTCATCATCATCTGTTTCTTTCCTTCAGGGATTGTAAAGCGAACAAAGCTGTGTACAAGGCCCTGAAGCTGGAAAATGTTTTCAACCTTTCGTCATTGATTAATCTGAAAGTAAGTAGAACTAGCTCATTTACCTGGTAGGAGAGCAGTTATGTATGTAACGTTGTAGCATATTCTTGATATTATGACATATGTGAAAATATTAATATGAAACTGTAACACAATATGAGTCGTCAAGTAAGCCTTCTACTGACAGACAGACTTGCTGACTTGGTTGACACTTGGCATCGGTTACCAATTGCGCAGATCGATGCTCATGCTGTTGATCACTGGATTGTCTGATCCAGACTTGATTATTTACAGACTGCCGCCATATAGCTGGAATATTGCTGAGCTCGGCGTAAAACTAAACTAACACACTCACTCTACTGATAGATCTACTACATATAGATCTACTACATAACACTGGTCTGTGTTACGTAAATAATGTGCTTATCTGCAATTGTGCAACTACATGAGGTGACTATTGTTTCAGTGTTGTAGATGTAGGGAGTGAATGAGTGAAGTTAGAAGTCACGTAAGCAATATTTCAGCCATGTAACTGTAACTAGTAGATGATAACTGAATCCTAACAGCAAGATTTTGTTATTAAATATTAACTCATGTGTTTATATGCTTACTCTTAGAACAATATGTTATTAACACTGTGTATGCTTTTAGTAAGAAGGTAGATATCCAGAATAGTTAGTTGCCTCCCTTGGCCAGGCCAGAAACCGGTGATTGTGGGTTTGAATGATGGCTCTGATTGTGTTCCATGGTTTGTTAGCACTATTCCCATGCTATCAGTCTGAAACCTGCATCAGCCAAAGTTTTCCTACCATATCAAAGTAGGAAGGCATCGTATTACTGGAATTCTGTCAAAGAGTGACACTAAACCAAACTCAATCACTTTCAATCACAAATATGATTAGTATCTTGCTCACCATGGCAACATTCCTTATTTGTTATGTATTAAGTTTGGTCAAGATTTTTCAGGCTAACATTCTTTTAGTTATATGCTAATGGAAACTAGTATGGGAACTCATCAAAGTACTTGTAAGTGTTCCTCTATTCATTGACAGGTTTCTTTGCATGATTTGTATTGCACTGTGGATGAAAACCTGGAACAAAAATATAAAAGAACACTTGTACCTTAATGTGTTCCTTTATTTGTTTCCATCAGTATATTTGTCTCCATATTTTTCTGATTTGGCAGGGGCGGTGGGGTAGCCTAGTGGTTAAAGCGTTCGCTCGTCACGCCGAAGACCCGGGTTCGATTCCCCACATGGGCAAAATGTGTGAAGCCCATTTCTGGTGTCCCCCGCCGTGATATTGCTGGAATATTGCTAAAAGCGGCGTAAAATCAAACTCACTCACTCACTCTGATTTGGCAAGTTCAGCTCTTACAGAAGCATATCAGTTCATCCACAAAGAGAACCCTATAGGAAACCTTTGTATGTTAAGTCTGTAAACACTGCCAGTTCCTGTTGAAGGTTTAGTGCTACAAGTATAATAATATTAATAATGAAAATATTTATAACACGCTTTTTCCAGGCTAGATATCCTGGTCAAAGCGCACAGTCTGATCATTATTACCCCGGATAAGTACAACTACACACTAACACCTGCAAATCATGTACTGATATTGTGTCGTAATAAAGTCATTGGTTTTCACAGGATTTGGATGCAAAAATTGATGAAATAGCTGCACAGAACTTCACCTTACCAGCAGTTTCTTTGATTAGTGATGATTTAAAGAAGAGGATTGACGACTTCGGCAAATCAGGACTAGACAGTATTGATTTCAGTTCATTTGATTCGCAGGTAAGACTCTTTGTTTGGGTCTATGTCATCTCTACACAAAGGGTGCTGTTGTCAGAGGCACTGTAGGTCGTGCAAAGTTAGGCACAACAGAAACTGTGGGTTTGAATCCCATATTCACCCTGTTTGTTTCTAGATTTGTCAGCACTGTATCTGAGTTCAAGGGTTTCACTTACAGTCCGTTTGAGTCAGAAACGGACCGATGAATTGCAAATTTTATCATTGTACAAAATTGCCACATAAATATAAATAGTACACATGTTTATCATGTACTAATACCCTACAGCTTTCTTATATTTGAAAATTTTCCGGACTCCACCAAAAAAGTTCTTTAAGAAACTATCATTACAATTTTGACACAGTTCACTATTTGTTACGAGGGGTGAGTGCAGAGAAAGGGACAGCCAGGTGTGCGAGAAGCACGTGCGTGCCCACCAAGTTATTGATTCATTATCCTGTGCTGTGCCGTCTCCATCCTTTCTCGCACACCTGGCTGTCCCTTTCTCTGCACTCCTCCCTCGTAACAAATAGTGAACTGTGTCAAAATTTTAATGATAGTTTCTTAAAGAACTTTTTGGGTGGAGTCTGGAAAATTTTCAAATATAAGAAAGCTGTTGGGTATTAGTACATGATAAACATGTGTACTATTTATATTTATGTGGCAATTTTGTACAATGATAAAATTTGCAATTCATCGGTCCGTTTCTGACTCAAACGGACTGTAGGTGGTAAACGTCTAAGACCTGAGGTGATGGGGTAGCCTAGTGGTTAAAGCATTGGCTCATCATGCGGAAGACCCGGGTTTGATTCCCCACATTGGTACAATGTGTGAAGCCTATTTCTGGTGTCCCCTGTCTCGATACTGCTGGAATATTGCTAAAAGCGGCGTAAAACCATACACACTCACGTCTAAGACCTGCACTGTTTAGGCTTTCCCCACATGGAGTCAACACATTCTGATATGACTGAAACACTGTTTGAAGCAACCATATAACATAAATCCACTGTTATGAGATGTCTTCTTCAGGTTTAATGTCAAGATACCCTGTAAATATTCTGTAATTTCATTGTGGAGCTTGTTTAATTATCCTAATATTTCAAACTCCCTGAATGATTATTCAAATGTTTATTTAACTCAGTTAAATCTGATTAAAATAAATTCAAAGACCACATTGAGCTATGAGAATCAAGTCTTTTCCAAATTCATTGTTGTATTTTCTTTTTGAATGAATATTCCATACCAGGAATATCCCCTGAACTCTTGTGAATCTGGACATGGCCAATGGAATGTTCAGGGCACATGAGTGTACTGTGTGTACATAGTACTGTATTTTAAATATAAACAGACATTCCCAAGTTAGACTTCTAAGGTACAAATCTGTGGACTTAAGTATTTGAGAGATTTGCTTCAGATTTCATTGTTTGTTGATAACAACACCTCAGTTTTTCCATCCGACATCCATGTTCATAAGTACTGAAACAGGCCATGTTCTAGTAGACATTTTCTTGAGAGACTTGATATTTGTTCGCTAGACATTTGGATGTTTGTGTTCACTGTTTGAGACCCTTTATTTCAGGAGGTGGGTTGTTTGACAAGTAGGAACAGAGTCAGCATCTGTGTCATTTCACTGCTGAACAAGTGTGCAATCTGATGAATCATTTGTTTTACACTCTTCACAGAATTTTGTTTTGTTCATACGATGTAGGTGGTCGGAAAAATTAAAATCAGTATCTCTGCACTCATGAGTTACATGAATGTTACTATTTCCCGCCTAAATGACTGCACAACCAGAATTGTCCTATCAAAGGGCTGTAACTCTCACAGCTTTATATTACTTTAGGCTCTGTTGAATTCCACAGGATATATTTCATAGTTTGTAAAGGATCCTCTTTCCAATTCCACAAATGTGAATATTTTTTTATAATAACATACTTTTTTAAGTCAATTTTTATACCATTAAAGCAGTTTAAAAATATATCAAATAGACAGATTTTTCCTTATCCTGACTCATGATCTTTCGTCATGAGTCAGGATAAGTATAAAATATCAATTTTACTTAAAAAATTACATTTTTAATTGTATTTTCCATTTTTTAGTTTTTCTTCTTAGCGGATTAGTAGACGAAGTCAGCAGTTATAAAATATATCAAATAGGTAGTTTTAACTGTATTTTTCTATTGGAAATTGTCATATCAGCAGATTAGTAAACTACAATATTTATCGGCGAAAACTGTCAGGTCCTGAATATATGATTCAAACCAATACAACCCCGACTGTACCTTGTCAGTATCTGAAATGACATGGCTGAAGTCTTTGAGGACAAGGATGTTTTTTCATTCATTCAAATCTTGTTATTAGGGTTGATTGCTGTATTTTTTGGTTGCCATGTTTGGTGTCGGTGCATGTATCGAAATAACGAAACTGCTGAATACACTTGGATATTATCAACAGAATTCACAGGGGTGGATACAGCTTTTTGAGAAAGGGGTGTGCGCACTATTGACAAAGGGGGGGTGCACACTTTGTTTTCACCCATTTACATGGGTCATGTACTAAACTTTCAGGACAAAAATGGGGATCCATACTGTTTGTCATGCACATTTTTAACTATGGATTTATCTGTCCTGAATGAGTATGACATGAGGTTAATCATAGCCTTTCATGTTTGAATATTGCTGACATACTCTTGCTTATTAAGTCATCATAACGATTGTTTCATGGCCAACTTGTGCTTGTTTTTTAAGCTGAATAAGGTAGGTTGGAATGTTGATGTAGCCATGTTGGCATGACACGTAGGGAGGGAATGTTGTAGCCAGGCCGTGCATGTAGCCTTGCTCTACAGCAGGCTGATTCCTGTCGTCTCTACATACATGACATGACATGACGACACATGACACGTAGGGAGGGAATGTTGTAGCCAAGCTGTGCATGTAGCCTCTGTCTACAGCAGGCTGATTCCTGTCGACTCTCTACATACATGACATGACATGACGACACATGACACGTAGGGAGGGAATGTTGTAGCCAGGCCGTGCATGTAGCCTTTGTAGCCAAGCGCGTGCATGTAGCCTTGCTCTACAGCAGGCTGATACCTGTCGTCTCTTCATACATGACATGATGACACATGACACGTAGGGAGGGAATGTTGTAGCCAAGCCGTGCATGTAGCCTTGCTCTACAGCAGGCTGATTCCTGTCGTCTCTACATACATGACATGACATGACAACACATGACACGTAGGGATGGAATGTTGTAGCCAAGCTGTGCATGTAGCCTCTCTCTACAGCAGGCTGATTCCTGTCGTCTCTACATACATGACATGACATGACGACACATGACACGTACAGATGGAATGTTGTAGCCAAGCCGTGCATGTAGCCTTGCTCTACATCAGGCAGATTCCTGTCGTCTCTCCAAACATGACATCACATGACGACATATGACCTGACAAGACATATCATAACACCTGACATGACATTTGAGGACACGACTTTTTCATGACATGACAACCACTGACAGGATAACACATGACACAAAATGAAAACACAAAACATGACATGACACCTGATGTCAGCACAACACATGGCATGACACCTGATGACATGACATTTGCATGACATGACCCCCAATGACAGCACAACACATGACATGACACCTGATGACAGGACATTTGCGTGACATAGCAACTACAGACAGGATAACACATGACATAATAACATATTACTGGACAACACAAGGCAATGCATGACATGGCAACACAATATAAGACTGAACACGTGACATGATACAACGTGACATGGTTTGACTCATGCATGTCAGACTCGCCCTAGTTAAGCCTGCCCGAGATACTGTCTGTTCATACTGACGATGCTTTAACTGGTTCAGCTCACCTCACCTGCAAGCTTGTACCATCAGCTTGTGGACTGCAGTTCAACACGGAGGCAACTTAGTTTATATTTCGTAGTGTAGCGAGTATTGCTGTCATGCACACTGTCGTACACGGACAGACTGTAATCCTGTTGTGATGCACTTAACTGTCCGCCATTGTGTTGCAGCAGCCATTATAGGAATATAATAAGCAGGGGAATGGTGTATATGTGTATATCTACCGGATAAAGGTTATGATGCTGATATGTAGACGTCATTATATGCATGTTGGTGTTTAACTGTGGCGCGGGCATCGTCTCACGTGACCTAACCTGGCAGGTGATCAAAGTCATCTTCATCTTAGTTGAGCAGGGATGAGCATGGCATTGCTGCCCAGTTGTGTAAGCTGCTAGGAGTTTCTGTACAGTTTTAATCACTGGTGCAATAGACTTTACCTTTCAAGATCCAGGTTAGAATTGGCATTCAGCAACCCATGTTTGTCGACAAGAAAGAGGCAACTAACAGGACCTGGTGGTCAGCTCGCTGACTTGGTTGACACGTCATCATGTCCCTTTTGTTTGATGCTCATGATGTTGATCACTGGATTGTCTGGTCCAGACTCAAATATTTACTGACCATCGCCATATAGCTCTAATATTGCTGAGCGTGGCGTTCAACAACAAACAAAGCAAAGAGTCTTTATACTTATGCTAATGAATTAGGTTTTGCTGTGTGCATTCACAGAGTTATGTCCCTTAGGTATGCATGTCTCCTATTATGGTTTGAATTCCGTATTTGCCAGGGTTATGGTTCTTGGTTTATCAGTATCCTGTAGGCTTCACAAAAGTAGGATCCAACGTCAAGGACCTTCATCACTTCTGGCTATTCTCCCACATCAAGCTGACATGCAGTATGATGAAATACTGTTCAAGGTGTCATCATACTGAACTCAACCCGTGAAGATCTGGGGTAGAATAGGTCTTCAGTAACCCATGCTTGCCACAAAAGGCGACTATGCTTGTCGTAAGAGGCTGACTAACGGGATCGGGTGGTCAGGCTCGCTGATTTGGTTGACACATATCATCGTATCCCAAATGTGCAGTACGATGCTCATGCTGTTGATCACCGGATTGTCTGGTCCAGACTCGATTATTTACAGACCGCTGCCATATAGCTGGAATATTGCTGAGTGCTGCGTAAAACTAAACTCACTCACTCACTCATCATATTGAACTCGCTCATCAACAAATCATCATCAGCATCATCTGAATGTCAGTTCCCATCTATGATACCATTGTTATTAATATATTTCATTGTCCTCCATTGCATGAACGTAGTTGGGAAAATGAACCTGCATGTTCTAAAGAATGTTTCTCTCTTGTTCTAGACTGTACAATGATTCTTTCTCTGCTTTTTCAGTTTTCTTGAAATCTGAAATCATTTACCGTCAGTATCATAGGATTACCTAATAACTTACTCTGGTGAAGTCACAACCTTTAACTGTATCATGAATCATAAATCACAGCCAGAAATATTCACATATTGAATTATGTAATCATTCAACATTTAACTTTCCTATAATCATGAAAATCTGGCAGAATATATTTGTAAACTCAAATTTACGTCAGTGTGGCCTCTAGATCCGGATGTGTATTGTCAAACTTTAATGAACCAGCTTGCAGGATGCTGAAGTCAGATGGAACATCCATTAACTTTTCTTCATGCATCTGCCCTTTAAATGAAACATTTTTTGCTTAGTCTTACGATCTGTTCAGCATTTTTTTAAAATTCTGTCTTTACCAGGACGCTACTTGATCCGACAAACATGTTGGAGGAGTAAATGTTTTGTTTGGTGTGTGTTTAGAATATTTTGGTACAAAATGGATAATGGTATACAGTTCTTGCTTCAGTAGATCAGTCCTGATGTTTCTCTGAACATTTCTCATGTATGTTTTATTACATTATAGACTGGTAAGAAACTAACAGGGACTAACCTGACCGAGGCTGCTGAAGCGTTGGAGGCGGCTGCAAAGACAGTGTCTTCTGATGCAGTGAGTAGCGGACATTTTCAGTTTTTAGAATCAAAATGTTCTTGCAAAGCATGAGATAATTATTTTCATGAGTTAATAATGTATTTAAAGAAATTTGGTACCGTGAGGTTTCAGGGTTAGAATACATCAACAACAACCTTTGCTAGTTATAAAAACACCTTAGTGGTTCAAGATTTCAGGACCCGTGAAGATCCAGGTTAGAATTGATCTTCAGTAACCCATGCTTGTCATAAGAGGCAACTAATGGGATCGGGTGGTCAGGCTTGCTGGCTTAGTCGCCACATGTCTTTGTGTCACACATACTTGATTATTTACAGACTGCTGCCATATAGCTGGAATATTGTTGAGGCAGCGTAAAACTAAACTCTCTCACTTACTCACTCAAGAGGTCAGACTCTGACTTTGTTTTAGTCTCAGTCACTGGATTGTCTGGTCCGGGGAACTGTTGTATAGCTGTGATATTGCTGTGTTCAGTTAAACAACAAACTCTTCAAATGGGTAAAAAATATGGAAAACAAAAGAAGGAAACATTGCATGGTTTTGACTTCATGATGACAAGTTTTCATAATTTCACAATGCAATTTAGAAAGTGGTAAAATGTAGCATATGTTATATTTGGGATTACACTTTCTTAGTGTCCATGAGAGTACCCATGTATAGAGAGTTTAGTCAAAATAACAGTATATTACGACCATTACCCCAATCCGTTTCAGTGAACGAGTTGAGTGAAAATAACTTTGAAATTTTGTTTGTGTTTGAACTGACTCTTGATATTCATATTTCAGGCTCTTCAAAGAGTGCTTCGTGCCAATGCTCAAGCTTTGAAGCAACTGGATACTGATTATGTTCAAAATATGACATCGAATGTGGTTTGTATAATATACTTGTTCTCCTCTCAGTAACTGTGTCAATGGGATATAGCCATGCATTCTGGGATCCATGTATATTAACACACTTCAAATTCAGGATAGACTTGTCCGTGTATCTTATAACCTGGGGATATATCACATGTTGCATCTACAACTGTGAACTCATGGCAAGAATATATTGAAGACCTTGATACTACACCCTTGATGGGCTGATGTCCCAGATACAGAGTGAGGAAACCCAGTGCTTCAAAAGATCATCAAGAATTTCTTAAAAGTAGTTGTAAATCTTTTCAGGAACTGCAATGGTAATGACTCAGGAAATCTCAAAATTTGTTTCTAGATTTGTCTGCACTGTATCTGAGTTCAAGGGTTTCACCAAAGTGGTAAACGTCTCACACCTGAGGCAGTGGGGTAGCCTAGTGGTTAAGGCGTTCGCTTTTCATGCCAAAGATCTGGGTTTGAATCCCCAATACAATGCGTGAATCCCATTTCTGGTGTTCCCTGATGTGATATTGCTGGAATATTGCTAAAAGAGGTGTAAAACTAAACTCACTATACAAAGAAACAAACAGTGTCTATATGATACTGCAGCATGAGTCAATAACTTTCATCCAGTAAGATTACTTCTTCTTTCAGAACAACCTGAAGAGGGCCCTTGAATCCCTGAAGACTAACACGAATATAGGAGTATGTGCATGTTAAAGAAATTCAATCACTTTCTTAACAAGAATTTAAAACAATGAGTTTAATTTTTTAATAATCATTATATTCAATGAATGTTGTAAAGAGTAATGGTATTCAATATTTACATTTTTCCAAAGGATAATAGAATTGAGATGGTGAAGAAGCATGTGTGTTCATAATTGTAAACCAAAAGTCACTGTGTTCTTTAATCTGATTGGTTGAAAAACGTGATCAAATGGTATTTGATTCCCGGAAATTCTCTGCATATTAATACATACAAACATCGCTCACACCATTGTATTGTTACGTCGTCAGCTGTGATGACGTCATTAAAATCATATTGTGACGTAAAGTCCGAATGACGTCACAAATGAGCAGTTCCAGATACTACCATGGGAGACAGCCGAAATGTCTGGCTGATGACATTTCACTGCTGTACCCGTACTCGATGTCACCTTTTGGTTTACTTTTGTGTTTACAATGTCGATAAACATAATGTGTTGGCAAATTTCCGGGTGTTATTGGGTATTTGAAGCACGGGAATATTTCATTTGAAACCTCCGGCTTACGCCGCCGGTTGCAAATGAATTCCTGTGCTTCAAATACTCAATAACACCCGGATATTCGCCAACACATGATGTTTATCTCCTAAATAACAAATAAGCACTTGCAGTGACATGAATATGCTTATCTTCTGTTTTTCAGAACCTTACAGTAGACCTTGTTGCCAATTTAAATGCTTCACAAACCACCTTCAATTCTCGGCGCAATGATTTGGTGAAAGAGGTGAGTTGTTTCACAAAGCATGATAATAATGATCATAATCAAGATAACAGACAATTACTGAGGATGAGACTCGGTTCTGGGAAAGGATGATTACTATTGTTGCCACTGGTTAACAGTCCAGTATGCATTTCATTTTCATTCTCAGCTCCCTGGGGAAAATACATCTTTGATAAAGCACTCGAGTATTGTGTGAAGGAGTTATTTATCTCTAGCTCTCTCTGTCACCTCCAATGTAAAGACCCGTGAAGATCAAGTTTAGAAATGTTCTTCAGCCACCCATGCTTGTAGTAAGAGGTGACTAATAGGATCGGGTGGTCAAGCTCACTGACTTGGTTGACATATTTCATTGTATCCTAATTGTGTAGATCGATGCTCATGCTGTTGATCACTGGATTGTCTGGTCCAGACTTGATTATTTACAGACCGCTGCCATATAGCTGGAATACTGTTGATTGCAGCGTAAAACAAACAACCAACCCTGTGTAAAGTATCTTCAGAAACATGATTACAAAAATTTACATGGTGTATTCAGCACTTGATCAATGTTTTGATTGGGACCCTTCTGAGGTATTACATACTACGAAGTTGATACGTTTCGTGTTTGAATTTCACTGAAACAATACAGAAGCTTGCAATATTCACTCCCCCTTATATTGAGGTCAGAAGGGAATTGTAACTAACTGGAATAGTTAACAGTGCCTTGAAAATATTTTGACAAAGGATAATGTGCAAAGACAAGGCCAAGAATTTGTAAGCATATCTTTTAAAGGACTTGAATTATAGATCTGGAAAGTCTTTCACAAAGTATTATGGGGCAAGAAAAGGATTTCTGTTTTCAAAACTGTTGTAAAAAGTAATCTTCCAGCTCAGGTGTCTGAATCAGTAAAATAATAAAAAGTAAAATTCATGTGACTTTTGCTTGTCTTAGAATATAGGGGAGTGACTTGAATTTTATCACTGAAATTCACTACTTAAGGCCCTTGTAGTGAAATATTGTATAATTTTTTTTCCAGGTGGTAGTAAATCTGACAAAATCCCTGAAGTCTACCACAGGGTCCGCTGTGACTGGTCTCATTGATACGGTAAGGATGGGGACACATCTTAACTCTCTCCATTCGAAGGACGAGATATCACCTCTGAAGGGTCACAACCCTTCTATACGAGTCTATTATTAGCAACATGACACTTACATACGAGGGACGTGATCTCACGTCTCCATGGTTGCAACGTTGACAAGGACCATTCATGAGCAACAGAACATCAAAATCAATATAAACTGAATTTATTTTCAAAACATATTTATTCACTTTCATTAAAATATTTCAGGCCCAAAGAGAAAATATTAGGTCGTTTAGCACAGAAATATTGGAAATGCAGTTTGTTTGTGAAAGGAGAAACATAATTGAACAACACAGTATTGTGATGTTTGTGATAATTTCTTTCAATCCAGTGACTACACTGGGTGGAAGAACACTTAAAATTATAGAGTCATGACATCCAAATCCAAAGAACGATGAAACGAGTGTTACCTGTGGTAACAACTATAAGAACAGTCAACAGTCAAAGAACATTGCTAACAATCAAACGTCAAACCCAAAGCCCAATTCCTGGACATCAAATGGCAGATAGAACTTGCCTTGCCATTTTAACGCCAGTGATCACCGAATGTCAAGGTGTTTTGATCACGGGAGATAATCAAGTAAATCCTAAAACTATACACTGTCACACAGTACACGAATTGCATTCGTAGGACGAGGATACACGGCTAGACAACTGTGAAATATGTTTAGTATGAGTAGAAGAGTTACCACGTCCCTTGTATGGAAACATTGTAAACAATCTGATCGTAATATCTCGGCCCATCGAATTCAGAGGCTACAACTGCAAAAATCTGGGCGTATGCAATGGTTGTAGATGCCTCGACATGATATCACGCCCCTTAGGATACATGTGTAGCTGTGAACATTTTACGTCGGTATGGAAAGAGTTAATCAGCGCCACTAATCTGAGTATGCGATCAGGTGACACAGTGACACCAGAGATTGCCATACAGAATTGTCTCACTTAAATACTTTGATCATATTTTAAAACAATCTTTTTTGGTTGATACCTGTAAAGATCCAGGTTAGAATATTGATCTTCAGTAACCCATGCTTGTCGTGAAGAGGCAACTAACGGGATCAGGTGGTCAGGCTAGTTGACTTGGTTGACACACGTCAACAGCTCCCTTTGTTTGTTGTTTAACACCAGCAATATTCCAGCAAGATGATTGCACACTGAATCATGGACATCAGACAGTCCAGTGATTGACATCATGAGCACGGATCTACACAACTGAGATACGACATGCATTAACCTAGTCAGTGTGCCTGACCATCTCATCCTGTTAGTTATTATTATTATTTTTTTTTTTATTATAGGATATTTATATAGCGCACATATCCAGGCAACTAGTGCATGCTCAAGGCGCTGGTACTTTTCCCCTCGATCATTGGACGTCAATCTCAACGGCACATCGTATTATCAATCTCAACTCCCTGGGGAGTATGCTACTCTTGCAGCCACTAGGCGTACCGAGTTATTGTGGCTTTCTCATCCTAACGAGGTAGTTGTCTCTTATGACAAGCCAGGAAGATGTCACAGCATTACATCTGTTTGTTGTTTAACACCAATATTCAAGCAATCGACAAAGTAACCGAGCTAGAGCACCCGAGCCATTAAGACTCCTCTTACGACTCACCTCCTTCATCTTGTCTTTGCTCTCCTTCACTTCACTGGTGTCATAGATAGCTCGGTAATGTTTACAGATGGACAAGTACGATCCTTCTTGTTCATCGAGCTCAATCATCAGCTGGTAGAACTTCAGCTTTAGATCCTGGACAGTGTCAGAAAACTAAGTCATGACTGAAGTTGTGTTTGACAGCATAGTCACCTACCTTAATCATACTGGTTTATGAGTAAATGAATTAGGCCAAACAAACAAAAAGGCTTATGGCATGAACAACTCCATGCTTCTAAACACAAACACACAGAACAAGCCATTGTTGACAGCTAATTTTCTTTGAATGATCTCCTCCAAAATTTATTGAGATATTATTTCTACATGGAATTGCACAAAAGCAAAATCTTTATTATATAAATTTGATATTTTCAGTCAGGTTTTATACTGCAAAAGTTTCAAGGCAGTGATGATGTGCAATGTACAGCTTCTAATTAGAACACACAAAAAAACAAAAACAACAACAAAAAACAACTAAACAATCTTGTCAATCAATGAAAGAAACCATCATTAATATATGACACACTGATACCTTAGCACTACTAACATCAATGGAATGACTAGACTGAGTATTTTTCAGTTAAGAAAGGAAACATGGGCTAATGCTTACGGTGGTCCCATCGTCATCAAAGAATTTGGTGTTGATTTTTTTGCTGATGATTTGTGTGCGAATATAATCCTTCTTGGCCAGACAAAGACGCATCTGCTCCAGAATAAACTCCACCTTTTCTTTCTTATCCATAGAGCCAAACGTCTCCACCTGAAACGATGTTTATATAATGAAATTTAATAAAATGTCAGACTGTGGTAAGCATGACCATACAGAGATAATGGGAAAAACTCCATTCGAATGACAGGGGATTTGGACTTAAGAAGTCTCATAACCAACTATATCATGTGACTGACACAAAGGCACTTAATCTATAATTCCAGTTCTCTAGTAGTGTAAAAAGAGGTGGAAATAGCTAGAAAAAGGATACGAGAGTCACGGTGATCTAGGAAGCAACTGCTTTAATACCTTGTCACTCAAAGCCAGTACAAGCTGTTGATATTATTATCAACTAAACTATTCCCGATGTTCATGTTGGCTTCTGGGAAAATCCTGTTTTGGGATGTGTGAATCTGTGACAGCCACTGTGACAAGTTGCTTGCAAAACGGAGAAGAATAAAAAACAAAACAAAAAGCCCCAAAGTATCTAAGATTAGATGCTTGTTTGGCATTTTAGAAGATGATATTTGACTGTGTATCTAAGATTATTTCGGTGATTGTATAGATTATCATTAACAAACCATTTTCTATGCTGCAAGAGTAATTCTTGAGAAATTCCTCCTGGCTTTACCCTTGACGATCCGGGTTAGAATTGGTCTTCAGCAACCCATGCTTGTCGTAAGAGGCGACTAACAGGATCGGGTGGTCAGGCTCGCTGACTTGGTTGACACATGTCATCGTATCCCAATTGCATTGAACGATGCTCATACTGTTGATCACTGGATTGTTTGGTCAAGACTCAATTACTTACACATAACTGAATATTGCTAAGTGTGGTATTAAACATCAAACACTCCTGGCTTGTTTGTTAAGTGCCCACTGTTGTCACCTATCACTGTTGTTGTTACACATGTAGGGCGGTGGGGTAGCCTAGTGGTTAAAGCGTTCGCCCGTCATGCCGGAGGCCCGGGTTCGATTCCCCACATGGGTACAATTTGTGAAGCCCATTTCTGGTGTCCCCCGCCGTGATATTGTTGGAATATTGCTAAAAACGGCGTAAAACCATACTCAGTCAGTCAGTCAGTGTTGTTACACTCGACTTATATAGTTATCTGCTTCTTTGTCTTCTTCACCTGATGAAGGAGTAAGAATATACTCTGAAACTCCCTCATATTATAGAAGATGACATCCATACAGTCCCCCCCCCCCTGTTAATGCTAAATACAAGTTATGTTATATTCAGTAATGTTAAGCATTGTTAAACCAGGCATGAATGAGTGTATTGTACGGTGGCCTAGTGGTTAACACATTAGACTTGTGATCCAAAGAGCTAGGGTTCAAATCCAGCGTAATGGCAAAACTTTTGTAAATTTAATTAGTAAATATATAGCCTCATTTTCATTATTGATGGTCACATGACCTAACCCTTGCACAAAATCTTCATGCAAAGGCTGATTCACTGTGCTATCCACATGGTCACTTGGCTGTCTGCAAATCTCTCCGTATGGCAACACAAATGTGAGTACTTTTAATCATACATTGTATAACTTTATATGACATTTGAATAGTATATGTTGTTGGAGTTATCATGGGAATATTTTGACCATTATTATTGTGTATTTTGATAGAAAGCTGCTATTGAAGCATGTTACTCAAATGCGTTGTCGGACAATCTTCAAACATTTTACCTAACAATTTTGAATAGCTATATTTGATAATTATGAAATCCTATATTTGAAAATTCAGAAAAGTTATATTTAAATGCTGTAATTGATGTATTAGCTAAAAGAATCATTTTGTTTCTTTTAGTTTCTTAAACCTCATCGATGGACCGAGTCATGTCAACGATAATAAGCCAATGACTTGTCACCGACTACCGAAAATCGTAACATTAATAAATCCCTGTCGGCGCGAAGTTTTCGAAGTTGTGTTCTTGCATCTACATTTGTTTAAGAAAATTTGCAGACAGTCAAGTGTTACATGGGTGGTCAGTAGCATCCAACGTTTAGCAGTGGCTGCTGATATCCTTGCAAGTTTTACACCACCGTGTAACGGTGTAAAACGTCCGAGTGCTCAAGGTTCAAGGGTGAGGCATGGCGTCACAGGGCAACGTTGATGATGATAGTCACCTCTACAGCCGAGGAATGGTCACGCCGTCATTCTTCTGAGGGGCAAACAACGCCCACAGTTGGTGATGTGAACACTGACAGTGGTGGTGTCGGTGATAGTGAGAACACCGAGAGTGTCGACAAATATTGGGATGCAGTTACGCCAAAACAGAACTGTTACAGAAAAAGGCAGAATTGAACATTTGAGAGTTTTGAGAAATAAGACTGTTTCTTCTTTATCAGCATGTACTAAGAGTAAAATGAACTTGATCGTTTGAAAGAAAACATTGACAACTTGCATTTAGTGAAATCTGGTCTTGACAACTTTAATGATTTGTTGATATATTATAAATCATGTGTAGATTTGTATTGCAGTCAACTTGAGGAAGAAGATAGAGCTTTGGTGAGAGAGAGTTCGAATGAGAAGGAATCATCATTCCTGTGCTTCAGAGACTCAAGTAGTAAGCTGGGTCCTATGTGCAGAGAGA